AGACCATGTCACATAGAAGGTCACCTCCACACAACAAGAGAGACGGACTCAAACACACAAACCATGTAAACTGGAAAGATGACTTCAACAATTTTGACTTTGCCTTCAGACTCAGAGCACATCATCTGATTGAGTCGTGTCGTGTCGTGTCATGATGTATCACGTAATGATTATGTGAGCGAATCACGGTGAGAGACTGAGCTGTGTTCGAGTGAGCGAAGTGTGATCGACAAAGCTGAGTTGGAGTGAGCGAAGTGTGAACCACCGAGCTCTGTTGTAGTGAACGAAGTGTGAACCACAGAGCTGAGTTGGAGTGAGCGAAGTGTGAACCACAGAGCTGAGTTGGAGTGAGCGAAGTGTGAATCACAGAGCTGAGTTGGAGTGAGTGAAGTGTGGTCTAAAAAGCTGTGTTCTAGTGAGCTGGTACTGGGTTTGTGTACAAGTGCAAGGTACGGTGTTGGTAAGGGTGTGTGGAAATCAGTGTCAACCAGTACAGGGAGAGCTGAAGGCTTTCACGACACACCCTGGTGTAATCACTCAATACTACAATGTAGTGATACAGATCAACCTGCGTTAGGAAACTGTAAACACTCTCACGCACGCACGCACCCACACTGACGGACAAATATACACACACACACACACACACACACACACACACACACACACACACACGTCCCCACCACATACACACACACCACAAACACACACACAAACACACACACACACACACACGTCCCCACCACACACACACACACACACACACACACACACATACACCCACACCCACACACACACACACGCACACACACAAACACACACACACACATACACACACACGTCCCCACCACCTTCCTTCCTTCTTCTCCACTGCCATGACTGGCTAAGTGGCCCCATACGGGGCAGCTCTTGGGTTAGCGCTGTCTCCGGGAAGCGGCACCAGGACCCGACGACTGACGTGACGGCGCATCTCTCCTCGCGAATATTCGAACAAACTTTCCTTGATTTTTTTGCTTTGGACGCCGTATTCAAATTTCCGTCAGTGTCGACAAGAGTCCTGACGTTCCACGTTCCCAGAGACAGAACAACCTTTCGAGCCGCTGGTGCACGCGAGTGAAAAGACTCTGGGCGAGGGTTTGCAAGACCTCTACACCCAGGCGAAAGAGGGTCAGCGCGAGTGGTCACATCCGAAGTGGCCATGTCGTCAACGCTGAATTTTTCCTCCTCCGCGGCAGCAAGATGAAGACTGCCTTGTCTAACACCGCGTCACTAAGTGTTTTCTACTCACCAGGGCTGGCCCTGGCAGAAGCCAGGAGCCAGCCCGTGGCCCTAAACTCACTACGAAGAAAGAAGAGTTCGGAGCCCCAAAAACTGCTTCCTCCTCTCTCAAGAGAAAACACACCACACACACACACACACACACACACACACACACACACACACACACACACACATACACACACACACACACACACACACACACTTATACTTGCTCACTGCCAAAACTAGTCACGCGGGTCCTCCAGGGAGAGGGGAAGAAGACTCAAAAAGGAATCTTGGAAAGATGACTCGCTATTGTATGGCCCAACGTCCGGCACCCCCTGAAATCCCCAAACTATGGGTGGACTTGGAAATGATCCCACTTATGGGTTCATCACACCTCAGTAAGAGGGTGAGGACAAGGTGCAGAAAAATTGAGGATTGACGGCATCAGGGTATCCGTCCCGTGATCCAACTGCAGTTGCCCCTGCTCTCCCCCCCCCCCCCCCCCCCCCAGTGAAAGTAATACTTAGTATTAGTGTGGGTGGCTAAATCAGAGTGGATCTGATATAAGCTTCACTAGGACCATTGATTACACAAGAGTTAATCCAGCCAGAGGTTTTCCATGGTTAACAGGTATGTATACTTCAAATAGAAAGTATATGAACCATGAAACCAACAAAGGTGGCAGGTACAACATTACACCTTCAAGCAGCCAAGCCTGTTGGCAACAGACCCAACACCATCTGGCAGAAGCGTACCCACCAACCGAACTAGCTGCCACACACATGCACCCCCCCCCCCAAACACACGCACAAACACACACACCTGTCCTGTCCAGTAGAGCTACTGCCACAGGGGTCACGTGGGCCCCAGAGGGGCATCAGAGAGGAAGATGGAGCACACAGCCTGATGACGCCGGAGATGGTGGCGCAAACAGACAAATAGAACCGGCGAGAACACACGCATACACGAGGGAACGAACTACACTGCTGGGTAGTCGGGCGGAGACCAGTCCTCGAGCACCGGTGATGACCGCGGCCTTGCGCAGTCCAAAAGCAGCGGGCACTAACACACAATGATGCCTCCTTCAGGCCGTACAGTACGGCCTTGTTTTGCCTTTGGAAGCGCTCGAAATGCTCCTCAATCACAACAGCTGGGTCTGCTTCTTTGACACGTACTCCAGGACCATGAGTGGAAGGAGACGTGCCGGCTACAGTACTCGCCAAAGTACGCACGGTAACGGTCTCACTGGGGGTCGGGTTTGGGGTTTCGACGACCTGTACTCGTATATCCAGGTCTTGGCAGATCTTCTTCATGTGTGCAGCTTCAACTACCAAAGCAGCCGCTCTTTGGTCAAGAACGTCAGTTAATGTGGCCAAAGCTTGATCAGTGCTTTTGACCACATTGTCCATGCGATCCGTCAGTGAGCGTACTGCAGCCCTTTGCACACCCTGACTGCTGCTTTCGGTTTTTCTTTGTATCTCTGCTTCATCATACTTGGCAGACAGGAAACCCATGTTCCCTTCTAGATCCCGTACGCTGTCTTTCAAATCTCCTACCGTATCTACTAATCTAGTACATTCAAGTGCGACTTTTCGGTACAGTTCATCTTTTTCTCCAGGGCGGTTAGTCGAGCATCCAAAGAACTACGAACCGCTCTCAGTTCTTGGCGAATATCATCAACGCCACTTAGAACCACACCAAGCTTCTCCTCCATCATTGCACTCATGCATGTCTGAAATTCATTCACGAGATAATCGGCACTTACGATATTACCACCACCATGATGGTCCAAAAGGGAAGGGGAGCCTCGGGTGGTGACAGGTTTGAAAGCTGATTTCGCACTCTCCGACCCACTGAGGGCATCCTCAGCTGAATGGTCGGAGAGCTCTCCAAGGTCAAAGGATGGCATTGGCTCGGCAGTCACAGGAGCTCCTGGCGATGACTCCGCACTGCTAGCGTGCCTTCACTTCGATGAGGCATCCGGATCTCTTTGTGGGCTGCTAGCCAGGGCGCCGAGAATACGCCCCAGGCCCTCAAACGACATAATTACAAAAGTAGTCAGAGTATTGGAAATTGACCACGTGACCGGAACCACACGGTTCGCCTACACTTCCCCTGCCACTAATGCTAATCTACTGAACACGGCTATCACCAGGTCACTTCCGACTCAGGCTTCCTTGCCTTAGACCAGTGTAGACAGGCCTGTCACAAACATTCATGCAGAGCTTCAAAATCTGCATCCGCACTTTCTTTCGTACGTAATAACTAGTGACAATAATAATAATGTAGAAAGGAAAAGGAAATAATTATAGTTACGAGTTGAGAGTAACTCTCCATCACTTTTGTTCCAAATGGTAATAATAATAATATTAACTGGTTTGAGGGAAGTAAAACTTTTTTTGAGAGTAACTCTCCATCACTTTTGTTTCAAATAATAATAATATAAATTCAAAATTTTGAAGGACGCTTCACGCAGCTTCATTATACTTGAATTGTTTGCAGGCAACCTGCCTACACTCAAGAGAGCACTGCATTTCACACAAATCCATTGGTATCGTTACAACGTTTCGGTCTTTATGACCATCATCAGGAATGAAGTGGACATGACTATGGATGTGGTGGCCCTTTACCCTAGCATCCCGATTAACGATGGCATTGCAGCAGTCATGAGAGTCCTCCGACAACACGAGGGCAGCATCGATCTGTTCGGTTTCCGAATTGGGCAGGTCAAGGAGCTCCTCGCACATGTGCTGAGCTCCAACTACTTCCGGTTTGGAGCGCAGGTGTACCACCAGAAGGATGGTGTGGCTATGGGCAATAACCTAGCGCCCCCCTTTGCCATCCTGTACATGCATGACCTAGAGAGTTCGCTCTTGCGTAGTGCACCTGCCAGCCCAGTTCTGTACAAGCGCTACATCGATGATGTTTTCATTGTGTGGAACCTCGGTCCGGAACTTCTGCAGAGTTTCCTAGATCACTTCAATAATGCCGATCCTATATTAAATTCACTCACCAATCCACGGAGTTGACTGGCTCAATCAATTTCATGGACACGACCGTCCATGTCTCACCAGATGGATCTATATCCTATGAACTATACCGCAAGCCATGTCACAGCGGACTGGTATCAGACTACAACTCGTCAGTTCCCAACCAGCAAAAGAAAGCAATTGCTTCCTCTGAGTTCCTGCGTGCCGTCCGCCTATCCTCCGATGCCGACACCCTAAAAAGAAGTGAAGGAAAAGTAACCAACATCCTAAAATTCAACAACTTCCCAGAGTCAGTTATAGTTTCGGCACGTGAACGAGCTATGCGCCCCCGACGTGTCAGAGTGCAGAATGAATACCGTGTCACCCTCAACCTACCGTTTCACACCGAGTATATCCACAACAAAATTCATAAATTACTCCGGAAGTACAAGATAAATGCCCAGCTGATTTACAGGAACCGCCGTCTAAGTTCTATGATTTGCACGTTTGCCCTCCGCAAACCACCATGCCGCAGGTATGTAGACCCGTCCAGGCCCCGTAAACGGGGGCGGCCCAAAGCTATGTACCGCGCTTTGCTTGCTTGCTTGCCTCCTTCTTTTATACTGCTGTTCTTTCCATGTCCACTTCATTCCTGATGATGGTCATAGAGACCGAAACGTTGTAACGATACCAATGGATTTGTGTGAAATGCAGTGCTCTCTTGAGTGTAGGCAGGTTGCCTGCAAACAATTCAAGAATAATATAAATAATAATAATATTACTGGTTTGGTTTCAGTGGAGTCTCCAAACCTTGAGAAAGGTGTTTATTCCTGATGATGGGCCTTGCCCGAAAATTTGATCTTATGTATATCAATTGCAGTGTAGCCTAGAGACCGTTAGAGAGAGTGTGTACAAGGTGTGTGTACAGGATGTATGGATTCAAGTATTGGCTACAGTGGAGTCTCCAAACCTTGAGAAAGGTGTTTATTCCTGATGATGGGCCTTGCCCGAAAATTTGATCTTATGTATATCAATTGCAGTGTAGCCTAGAGACCGTTAGAGAGAGTGTGTACAAGGTGTGTGTACAGGATGTATGGTTTGAGGGAAATGATAATTAAAAAAATAAATAAATAATAATAATAAGTTCTTGTTTAAGAGTACATGCATTATCCGTTGATGCTGCCCAGTCCAATGACTGTGAAAGAATGACAGCACATTATGAAGGAATGTTACCACATGCTGCACAAGTCGGATAGTGGTCAATGACGATCTTCTGGCTGGCTACTATCTTCCTAAGTTTCTCTATTGTCTCTGCCTGTTCCTGGATTTTCTGCGAGTCCTCTGCAGCCTTCATCTTCGCCTTCTCTCTGCAAAGCGCGGCTGCCAACTTATTTCGGTTGCGGCGTCTCTCTATTCTCTCTTGGTTTTTCTTCACCTTTTGTTCTTCTTGGCGTAGGGCGGTCTCCTGCATAGATATATACATAAGCATAGGAAGAAGTACAAATTAGCGAGCACTTTGTACCATTATCATTGTGAGAAGAACTGCACATCATTACCATCCGTTTCTATTGCCAATGTCGCCTTCCCAAAAATGCATATACCCTATTTCCCCGAATATAAGTCGCACCTTTTTACACTTCACATCAGGGCCAACAAAGGGGTGCCACGAATAATCAAGCATGACTTACTACTGAAGTGAATATAATCAAAACGATAACGACATGTTGAGTCACCTCCACCGTTACACTGCGCTCTTTAGCCGACTAGACCCTCCTGCACACAACCATCACCATTGCGAGGACACTTCCTTAGACGATATTGATAAACTCCTTCAGACAGCTGTTTCGCTAATACGTAGCTAGCTCATCAGTGAAGGTAGATGTTGAATGATTAAAATGTAGACCAAACTGCTATTATTTAAGGTTTCCATATACAAAAATTGGCATAGCCGAGATGGTAACGCGGGAAAGTGTGAAGTACTGTTGACGCGCATGGGACATGGATGCAGCGTCAGAAATTCGGCGCGGAAAATCAAAGAAAAGGACATGAACCTGGAAATGGGGGGGGGGGACTCACAATTGAGTGCGACCTATAATCGGGGAAATACGGCACATGTACATGTAGTACTCATGTAGTGAATAGTGACGCTATGAAAACAATTGACTGTGCTGGCATGTCAACACACACGCACACACGCACACACACACACACACGCACACACACACACCTTGGACCTTGGACCTTGGACGCGCTGCCATATTCTGGCTATGCGGACCCCATGGGGGGTTGAGCAGGTTCGGAACAGTAGGGGCGATGACGGGATAGGTCCTGTGGTCTACTGAAACGCCGACCGCAATTGCAAACGATGCAGAAGGAGCTACGGTCTGTGTTGGTTGCTCTGGCCGAGCCACGGCTGCACTTGTGACGTTTCATGCCTTGGCGCGATAGCACACAGCGGTTGCAGCGGGCGCAGTGGTAGCTGCAGCGTTCGCAGGACATATTGTTTGTAACCGGTGACTCAAGTGTGTCAGAAGATGCCTCTGCTGGTGATGTTGCTGGCGAGCACTTGTGTCGGGCAGATCCACCCTTGCTCCGGAACCATCTGTCGCACTGATCGCAGTGACAGCTTCCTGGCTGTTGGCTTACGGGTAGGGCACGCGTAGCTGTACACTTGTGTCGCTTCCTGTCACTTACACGACTGAAGGAGCGGTGACAAGTTTGGCACACAACCGGTGATGGTCGAGGTCTGTTCTGCTTGTCTGGCAGACAACGGTAAGCCTGGCGCCATTTGGAGCGAGAAGAGGTGGCCACTTCATACCAGTCGTCAAGTGGTTTGACGTCACTCCGAACACAGTCTCGCCACCTTTTCCGCGGACCATGGGCAGGTCTCTTGTTTGGAAACGAACCGAACAGTAGAGCCTTCGGGATGCGCTCATCCTCCATCCTTGCCACATGACCAAGCCACTCAAGGCGACGTCTGCTGAGACGACACTCCATGTCCAAGGTATCTCCCCAGCGCTCCAGAACTTCAACATTAGTTATCCTGTCATTCCATACATCTTGACGACTGATGCCCAGAATGGTGCGGACACAACGGAGATGAAAGACAGACAACGCATGAACATCAGCCTGTAGCGGTACCCAGCATTCGGACCCATAGAGCAGAGTCGACAGCACACAAGCATTGTACACTGACCGTTTGATGGATATTGTCAGTGTTACATCGTGGAATATCGATTTCTTCAGAGCGCCAAACGCTTTGGCAGCTTGTGCAATCCGGGATGTGACATCATCATGACATCGTCCGTTGCTGTGTATGTTGGATCCAAGGTAACGAAAAGACGACACATGGGCAATCTCCATAGTTCGAATCGCGAGCGGCTCTAGATCGTCGTTAGAGATGTTGGGGCCAGAGACCATGAACTTGGTTTTGGTGGCACTGACGGTGAGGCCAAAATCGCTGCAGACATCCACAAATACCTCCAAGGCTGAAACTGCGGCCTGGCGTGTCGCGGCCACAAGAGCGGAATCATCAGCAAACTGACACTCTGTCAGCTCCAGGGATCTATCACGGCGGCTACGGTGGTGGAGTAGCTTCCCATCTGGCTCGAAGAAGACCTTTGTGCCTACACCAGGGATAGGCTGCACGTGCTGGCGCCAACAATGGCGCCAACAATGCATCACTGCCCACATGAAGATGTTGAATAGGACAGAGGCCATGCAACATCCCTGCCGCACACACACACACACACACACACACACACACACACACACACACACACACACACACACACACACACACACACACACACACACACATACACACACACACACACATACACACACACAAAGCAACGTAGGTAGTTATGAAGTCTATAGTGGTGCACTTTTTAAGTAGAGCACACGTCGTCAATAATCAGGTACTGAGCTTACCTGCATTACATTAGCCCAGTCGGAAGAGCCAAACAGACCAAATTGAGAAACCGGGGAAACCTGATCAGTACTCGACAGGGAAAGATGTGATGATCCTAGCGGTGATGCTGGCACTGGCGGTGTCTGAAAGTCCCCATACTGGCCATTGCAGGATTGAAGAGGCGCTGAACTGCCTGTTGACTGTTTAGGGATGTTCATGTTCGCGTCCAATTCTGTAGGCCTTGAAATTGGGTTCTCACAATTTGTTAATAGGGATGACCAGCCGGCGTCGTTGTTAGTGTTTACCAGTGCACTCCTGTCCAAAGACGCTGACCCGGGTGCGATGTTTCGCAGTGCACTCGGATCCAAAGACATGTTGGGCACTGTGCTGTTTCCCATTGCCCTCCTGTCCGCTGACCCAAGTGCGGTGTTTCCCAGTGCACTCGTGTCCGAAGACGCTGACCCGGGTGCGATGTTTCGCAGTACGCTCATATCCAAAGACATGTTGGGCACTGTGGTGTTTCCCACTGCACTCCTGTCCAAGGACGCTGATCTGGTTGGTACTTGGTAGATCCTGTCCTCTCTTTTCTAAATGCGGCTTATCCATTCGCCTTTATATCATTGGGCCTAGTTCCCGTTTATTGTCCGAATTAAAATAAACCAACCGATCAGGTAAAGCATGTGACTCGGCTGGTGAGACAGCGCCAGGTACATGTGTACCCGGCTCCCACCCGGTTGAAATGGTTGCGCCAGGTACACGTGTACCCGGCTGTCCTACAATCCTAGGCTAGACTAGAGCAGACACTGCCAGTACAGACTACTATACGTACAGTATCGATCCACCGCACGCGAGTGCACTGACGTCTGACGATGTAGTCATAACTGACTCAGTGACTGCACTGACTGTGATCGGACGTCGACGGACGTCCTTTTTGTGCACACATGATATTTTTCGATATTTTCTCAGCCGCACACTTTGCAAAATTTAGGGGGTTAATGGTTCCATGGAACCCCCCCCCCCCCTGGATCCGCTACTGCAGTTCATCGGCGCAGTCCTGAGAACCAGCTCCCGCCTGATCTCCGTTCCGAGCCCAGCCACCTTCAGTTCTGTGTCCTACTAAAAGCGCATCACAGCTCTGTTTACATGCTTTTCGGCTAGTGTGTTTCTGTGGTATAGCGGACTGAAGAATAGGAAACGTGTTTCGCAATGGTATGATGTTATTTTGTAGATACATGTAGTATATTCCCATTCGGTTTTTGCTTGAGTGTAGCCCTGAGGTTGACTCACGTATTTAATTTCTACCCTTCCACTCTCCATATTTCTGTCCACCACCCTCTCTCTCTCATTCCCTCTGTCGTCCGCATGTACATGTATATAAGGTGTGGTGCGACGTTAAAATAAACTTCTAAAACAACAACAATATGTACACATACATGTACATTGTACATGTAGTTGTGTTCAGTAATCAGCCTCATGAGGTAAATACCTGTATCAATTTTTACTGATTAAAAAAAAAAGTCCCAACAAGATGTCATTACAATCATTTTCCTGTCCTGTAGAGTCACTGCCGCAAAAGGGTCACGTGATCCCATCACTGGGAAACTTGAGAAGAGAGAGAGAGAGAGAGAGAGAGAGAGAGAGAGAGAGAGAGAGAGAGAGAGAGAGAGAGAGAGAGAGAGAGAGAGAGAGAGGCCACGACGCTCGATGACGCTCCAGGTGCACGGGTAGTCGCATCCGCTTGCCGCATACCGTAAAGTCGCGGATAAAAGCCGGGTTTGCATACAAGCACATCGCGGATAGAAGCCTGAAAATCAAACGGGTCAATGCATATAAGCCTGTCGCGCGTAGAAGCCTGGCTTCTATGCAAGCGCGGATCGGGTAGGTCAAGAGTGCATGCGCTATGTACAGTGCATAGTAAAACTGCCGCCATACCGGTAATCAGTGGTAAATCTACGCGTGTCGCGCGTAGAAGCCGGGCTTCTATGCAAGCCCGGATCGGCCGATGTGCATACAAGCCTGGCAAAAATATCAGTGGTGCAGCATAGTTTGCATACAAGCCTGGTTTGCATTGAAGCCTGATGCAGAAAGCGGCTTATGTGCTTATAAGCCCGGCTTTTATCCGCGACTTTACGGTATGCACACGTGCTGGAAGACTGAGCGCTCCTCTGCTGTTAGTCTATGCGCCACCCTTGAACAGCGACGCCTGCCCCGTCCCCGGACATTGGCACCGCGAAAGCAGCGACCACACCTGTCACAATGCGCGGCACAACATCCCTCCGCCGGTGCCGACGTTCCGGTAGTTCCAGGTGGCACTGCGGCATCCACCGTTGAGGCACACACATGCCGGACCAAGCCACCGCGGCTTCTCAGCCACCGCCCACACCGCGCGCACTGACTGGCAATCATTGTACGTACATGTACATGTACATGCATGCTTTTTTCCACAGGTACTACATGTACATGTACATGTTGTTGGTTTGACAGCATGAAACAAGGTAGAGGACACCGTGTTCGGAAACAATGACCTTACTACAACCATCCACGGTTGGTAGAGCCCCAGTCCGTGGGGACCATCTGAACCATATGGGTGTTGAACCCGGTTCTGACGCTCATTATGCAAGGGGAGTTTTAGACTTCTCCTAACGTCAGTCGTGTATTCCTTGATCGCTCCTGGATGTCGCCCTGATAGTCATAAATAAAAGTAGCCATTCTAATCTGAACTTAGCAGTTGCGACTTCGGCGGTAATAGTCATGAAGTTGATTGTTCCAACTAGGAACACACGCTTCTTGCCGAACTTGACACTTGACTGACTCACGACTGCCATCCGAAGCTCACGAGGAGCACGTCGCACCTTCCACTCGGCAAACCTGCAAGAAAGCACCACTCCCTGCTCAATACACGGTGTTTCGGGGAATTCACCCCTCATCAGTTGAGCTTGAGTAGGCTGAGGAAGATTGTGCCTGAAAACTTTAAAGCACCACTTATATACTGCTCTCCAGGCCAAACCATCAGCAGGAATAAAAACTTACAGAGACGCTTTGTTTCCAGCGCGACAAACACCGGATGGCAGTCGTGAGTCAGTCAAGTGTCAAGTTCGGCAAGAAGCGTGTGTTCCTAGTTGGAACAATCAACTGCATTCTAATCTGAATTGTTTTAACTCCTTTCTTCTTCCAATTTCGTAGTTAGGTAGTAGGAATGAGCACAGTTCAGTCGACAAAGCAACTATTCAGTTGAGCAATGTAATTGTTAGGCCCGGGAACTACGTGATATGCGACTGAGGTAGAAACAATGCGTGGTAAGCAATGCGTGGTAGCCCTGTAGACTATGAAAAGATCAACTGGCGTACTCAAAGAAGCAGCCAACCGCGGTCGGCGAATGCATTGGCGAACCACAAAAAATGAAGAGCAGCCAACGGAGCCATCAAGAGCACAGATGTAATTTTCATTGAGGCCCAAGTACTGGTCGTGGAAACACGGATGAACAGAATAAAAATTAGGGAGTCCATCGAGATTCGAGAACGGCGCCCGGAGATCAATACCTCCTTCGGATGGCCATTGAAGGCGCTATCACCCTCACAGTGAAACTGCTAAATCTTGCTGTGTCTGTACAGGATTGTACACACAATGATCGTGGTATACACCTTCGTACACACATTTCCTGCGTGTTATCTGCTGAGCTGTTGCATACCCACTCTTTCAGCGCATTTCTCCTTGTCGGTTGTACATTCAAATAATTTAATAATTATTACTTCGAAGTAAGACAAACCCCATTTTATTTAAAAAAATAATTATTCCCGGATAATTTTTCCCGGTATTTATATGTACACGTACAATCGATAATCATGCATGATAATGTATCTTTCACATTCTTGCATCGCGCACACTTACTGTCTTTTGTCGTCCGCCATGTACATGTATATCTACTGACTGTATACACATGACTGAGTACAATGAATGTAACTTGTAAGTACATGTAATTATTTAGTTTATCAAAACATCACCCATACCCATGGCATGGGATGGACCCCGTACCGACTGAGTCTGTGCATTGTCCAGGCGCAGGTGGTAAAAGAGCGAAAACACCATCACCATGCATGATCACCGATGTCCGTGCCTTGCACCATGTGCACCGTGCCTTGCACGGTATGGCCGTGGCAGCCGTCAATCATCAAGACTAGTGCTGGAGATCCTAGGCTGTAGTGTAGGGCCTATCGCTAGACCCTGTTTACCATGGTTTACTGTGTAGACCAATGAAATGGAGAGGACTAGCCTAGCCCTGGCCTAGGTAAGCGCTGATGAAGTACCGGTAGCGATATCGCCTTGAACGCTGCAGCTGAAGTGATCAGTATTTTCTGACATGTCACATGACAATCGACATGGCAACAGCGAATCCTAGCGCGACTTGCCGTGCTTTGAATCAGCCACTGAAGACCTGTGAGCGCTTGCAGGTCTCCGATTCAGCCATCAGAGGCCGCTTTTTTTTTTTTAGGCGGGAGTGGAGCGCCGGTATGAAAGACTAAGTGCATAGTGCATTATGGTTGAAGAATGCAGATGTGCAGGGACTTGCTACAAGTGCTTTGTTAGTTTGATGTTGAAAGTGAATAAGTGGTGGTTGTGAAGAATAACAGGACATACCCGTGCTCTTACAGCGCCAACAACGAGCGTTCAGCGATCACAGCAGCAGACTGAGTTCCACGATCCCGACATTGATGAGTACATCGCAACTTGTGACCCAACAGTGCAATCCCCAACTCACCAACGGTCTCTGATGCAGAAAGCTACGAAGACCATCAACTTTTCCGGAGCTCAGTTTGGTGCAAACTTCAATGTTCACCTGCACCTGTAGGCTGTAGGCTGTAGTCACTGCGAAGAAGAGAAGCTGAACTGACCTGGTTTTTAGCTGACTAGACCGCCCTTGTTTTATCTCTGTGTTGTGACTGTGTACATTAGTCATTATGTAACATGTCTGAAGTACTAAACTGGCGACTACATTGTAGTTGTGTTCCTTGTCTGGTCTAGTGTGCGTGCCTTGAGTAGGTACTAGGTATGTGTGAAGTACTACATGTAGTAGTACTAGTAGTACGAAGTAGTTCGTGCAATGCATGTCAGAAATGGTATCAAAGCATTCGTACTCGGACTCAAGTGCTAGAATCGGAGCCCTCCGCGCTAGCGCGCGTCGGGCTCCGATTCCGCACTTTCGTCCTCGTACTCATGCTCGATTCCATACATATATGTAGGGTTTCGTTTGTCTCACACATTTTAATTTTTGGAGTCGACAGAGCTAGAGTACTACTCACTACTACACTCTACAGACTACAGTACATGACTGTGCAGTGCACTGGCCACTGCCGCGCTGGGTGCAGTCTGTCTGCGCTAGTCACCATCATCCCCATCCATCTGGGCACGGCCGGGCGTAGATTCCGCACGCTCGGTTCGAGTTCGAGATGTCTTCGGTGATCATGGTGATGGACACACCTTGTACTAATCGCACGCAGATGCAAATAATTATTATTTACGCCCCCTAACATTTTTATAATAATTGCTATCAAAAAGAAACTTTCTCTTGGATAATTTCAGATTGTAGAATACCTTTCAAGGCCTTTGTGGCAATGAAGCTGTCCGGGCGCTAGTGTGTTTGGCCGGTATTTGAATTATCGAGAAGGATGTCGCGTCGCGTCCGAGGCGGGGGCGCAAGCCGCTACTCTCCCGGAGTTTTAGCGGCTTCCTCGCCGAAAGTGGCTGTCCGGCGCGATGGCGCAGAACAGCGTCAAACACAAAATGCTGTTGGTAACACTGCCGCAGGCCGTCGTGCTGTCTTGCAGAGAGATATTAGCACGGTTGAGCTGATGCACTCAGTCTCAGGTCCAGCCACTGCCCCGCCTAGTAAAGGAGGTACGTATGGAGTCCTGGAAATGAATGGAGCTTGTGCAATGTCCTCTAAAATTTTAATTTCTCAACGTACTGCTGAGAGGTCCACTCAGTTTATAACTGTGCCTCCATATAGCGTCATTTGACGATGTTTGGCTTATTTCCCCCCTTGAGGCAACAAGTTGAGGCGGAAAATGCAGTCCACTGAAGATCATAATAACTCTGTCCCTAAAACGGGCTCAAGCTACTGATAGATGCCAAGATGAGTTTTTGAAGTGATCAGCCAAGTGTCTCTTCACATGTTTGGTTTCAGCGTGATACATGGAGAAGACTTGCTGGTCATTGTTTATACATTCCTAGATCCTCACTATCATAGGCCCTGGCCCAAAGGATCTAGGACGACAGGCTCCCTGAAAACATTACAGCCTCCAGCAATCAATTATTAAAGCATGTGACTTACTCAAGTGGTCACTTCTCTCTGTGCATGTGCTGTGATGTACATACATAGAGTGAAGTGGTGGGCAGGCTTGGGCATCTGCTAGCCACAATGGTGGATACTTCCCGCAGCATGAGCAAAATTAATAATTCCCCATGGCTTACCAATGTAATCTCATTATGCTGTGTCATGCACTGCAGCACGGCATGTACAGGATATGACAATACATACATGAGTACGGGTGGATGGTGCATCTCTGCATGTACAGGATATGACAATACATACATGAGTACGGGTGGATGGTGCATCTCTGCATGTACAGGATATGACAATACATACATGAGTACGGGTGAATGGTGCATCTCTGCATGTACATAATACTGTTGTGGATCGCACATTACGAAAATTAATGGCTCCTCAGAAAGATTGGCACCCCCCCCCCCCCCCCACATGACACCCACCATGTACCATGTATACGCCCGTCGCCAGAGAAGCACGCTAACTGCAAATGCTCTGGAAGTGAACCCACAGATTTCCTCTTTATAGCAACGATAGCGGATCTGATTCTGAATAAAACAGATCAAGGCAAGTGCCAGTTAACTGTCTTATCCACACAACTGACGAAGCCATGTGAATCGCCCCCCCCCTCCCAATGCACACCTGGTCTACACCACACGCAATATATCGGAATAGGACGGCCAAGACAGTTACCTATCGGCACCCTACACTTGCTGGGGTAACCAATATAGACAGCGTGTTGCTTTGATAGAAGCAGACACTAGATGCACTGGTACCTTGAATTGAAATTGGAATTACTTTACGAACCAGCTTCGGCTACTGAGTACTGGGAATCGAGGGCCAACAGAAATACCAACAACCTCGGCCATGAAAGCTATACAAAAAAATGTAGTAACAACACACTGGATTGTGGAGCCGAAACTGCTAGTCCAACTTCCAAATGCTTTGCCAAGAAGGCAGTCTTCCGATAGGTTGGCAACACACACACCACACACACGCACACAAACACACACACCACACGCACACACACCACACGCAACTATGGTATTGACCCCAAATGCACTGATTTGGACTCTGATTTTTTTTGGAAAAATTATATGCATATTCACCGACCCCATGATTAACTTTTAAAAGTTTACTTTATTTGGCTGACCGTGCTACTGTAAAATGCCCTCCGACACCACAGAGCTGTCCCTGCTAGAAGTTGCGGCAATATTCTTGAAAGCTCGAGCAAGAAATTGCGGCAGAAAGCAGCAAAAACATGCGGCAAAAAGTGCGGATGCACTAAATGCATACGTGTAGACATGTATCCATGTGTTGCTACGTATAGCGGAAAAGATGCGGAACTTGCCAGGAATTCACGGAATTCATAGCGGACTAGGGCCAAAATCACAAAATTTGTTGCATCCATTGGAATCTCTATTTGCGCGGTAGATCTACTCGCGACTAGTACGAGTCGTACTGTGAAAATAACGTACAGAATCATGCACAAGACTGCATGAAAACTGCAGAAAATGTATAAAAAGTGTAGAAAAAAAACAAAGAACGCGAGAAACGGGGGATTTTGCAGAAAATCGCGGATTTGGGCCGAAATTGCGAATTTGCTGCATCCGTGGAATCGCGATTTCCTGGAAGGACAGACTGAGAGTACTAAACACTGATTGAAAACATTGTGTCGGAAGGTAATGATTCCATGGGACTATAAAAGGTATTGGAAGTGGTATTTGAAACTAGGGTTACCCTTCCTCGTACAGGGTGCACATTTAGCACCAACAAAGTACGGTCTTACGGATCGAGTGGACACTGAAAACAGTCAGGTGGCCTTGAAGTTTTTGCAAGCGTTTTCTAATGCTACTTCGAAGTACAATGATAGCAGTACTTTTTCTTCTCTACCAGTGTCTACCAGTGTAGACAGGCCTGTCACAAACATTCATGCAGAGCTTCAAAATCTGCATCCGCACTTTCTTTCGTACGTAATAACTAGTGACAATAATAATAATGTAGAAAGGAAAAGGAAATAATTATAGCAACATAAGTTACGAGTTGAGAGTAACTCTCCATCAATTTTGTTCCAAATGATAATAATAATAATAATGTTTGATAGAAAAGAAGTGTCTACTGAATTGTGTGGATTTGCGTCGTTGCATGCGAATACTTATTACGAAACTGTTTTCCCACCGCCTCCAAACTACTGTTTGAATAATAATAATAATAATAATAATAATTTTCTTTCACCGCCCACGGCCGCACAAAGTCCTTGGCTACAAAAAAAAAAATTAAAGTCTCTCCAAATCTCTCAAAACCAAACTTAAAACTCCTTTCCAAGGAAAGGAGTTTTAAGTTTGGTTTTGAGAGATTTGGAGAGACTTTAATTTTTTTTTTTGTAGCCAAGGACTTTGTGCGGCCGTGGGCGGTGAAAGAAAATTAGAAATCATGACAAGGCTACAGAGGAGTTACGCCATCCTTATTAATAATAATAATAATAATAATAATATTAACTGGTTTGAGGGAAGTAATAATTTTTTTGAGAGTAACTCTCCATCACCTTTTGAATTGAGCATGTGTTCTAAATACATGTAAATGTAAATGCAAAACAATATAAAACAAAAACACAAACAATGAGCAATAACTTCAGGACTGGGCACAAGTCCTAAACCAGTAAAAGGTGCAAGAGATAATAATCAACCTTGCGACCTTTGTTTCAAATAATAATAATATAAATAATAATAATATTCACTGGTTTGAGGGAAATAACAATTAAAAAATAAATAAATAATAATAATAAGTTCTTGTTTAAGAGTACATGCATTACCCGTTGATGCTGCCCAGTCCAATGACTGTGAAAGAATGACAGCACATTATGAAGGAATGTTACCACATGCTGCACAAGTCGGATAGCGGTCAATTACGATCTTCTGGCTGGCTACTATCTTCCTAAGTTTCTCTATTGTCTCTGCCTGTTCCTGGATTTTCTGCGAGTCCTCTGCAGACTTCATCTTCGCCTTCTGTCTGGAACGCGCGGCTGCCACCTTATTTCGGCTGCGGCGTCTCCCTATTCTCTCTTGGTTTTTCACCTCTTGTTCGTTTTGGCGTAGGGCGATCTCCTGCATAGATATATACGTAAGCATGGGAAGAAGTACAAATTAGCAAGCGCTTTATACCATTATGATTGTGACATGAACTGCACATCATTACCATCCGTTTCTATTGCCAATGTCACCTTCCCAAAAATGCATATACCCTATTTCCCCGAATATAAGTCGCACCTTTTTACACTTCATTTCAGGGACAACAAAGGGGTGCGACGTATAATCAAGCATGACTTACTACTGAAGTGAATATAATCAAAACGATAACGACATGTTGAGTCACCTCCACCGTTACACTGCGCTCTTTAGCCGACTAGACCCTCCTGCACACAACCATCACCATTGCGAGGACACTTCCTTAGACGATATTGATAAACTCCTCCAGACAGCTGATTCGCTAATACATAGCTCATAAGTGAAGGTAGATGTTGAATGGTTAAAATATAGACTAAACTGCTATTATGTTGGGTTTCCACATACAAAACTGGCATAGCTGAGGTGGTAACGCGGGAAAGTGTGAAGTACTGTTGACGCGCATGGGACATGGATGCAGCGTCAGAAATTCGGCGCGGAAAATCAAAGATAAGGACATGAACCTGGAAATGGGGGGGGGGGGGGAGGGGGGACTCACAATTGAGTGCGACCTCTAATCGGGGAAATACGGTACATGTACATGTAATACTCATGTAGTGAATAGTGACGCTATGAAAACAATTGACTGTGCTGGTATGTCATTGTCAACACACACGCACACACACGCACACACACACACACACACACACACACACACACATACACACACACAAAGCAACGTAGGTAGTTATGAAGTCTATTGGTGCACTTTTTAAGTAGAGCACACGTCGTCAATCATCAGGTACTGAGCTTACCTGCATTACATTAGCCCAGTAGGCAGAGCCAAACAGACCAAATTGAGAAACCGGGGAAACCTGATCAGTACTCGACAGGGAAAGATGTGATGATCCTAGCGGTGATGCTGGCACTGGCGGTGTCTGAAAGTCCCCATACTGGCCGTTGCAGGATTGAAGAGGCGCTGAACTGCCTGTTGACTGTTTAGGGATGTTCATGTTCGCGTCCAATTCTGTAGGCCTTGAAATTGGGTTCTCACAATTTGTTAATAGGGGTGACCAGCCGGCGTCGTTGTTAGTGTTTACCAGTGCACTCCTGTCCAAAGACGCTGACCCGGGTGCGATGTTTCGCAGTGCACTCGGATCCAAAGACATGTTGGGCACTGTGCTGTTTCCCACTGCCCTCCTGTCCGCTGACCCAAGTGCGGTGTTTCCCACTGCACTAGGGTGCAGTGGGTGCAAAGACGCTGACCAGGATGCGGCGTTTCCCAGTGCCCTCCTGTCCAAAGACGTGTTGGCCACTGTGGTGTTTCCCACTGCACTCCTGTCCAAGGACGCTGATCTGGGTGCGGTGTTTACCACTGCACTAGGGTCCAAAGACGCTGACGAGGATGCGGCGTTTCCCAGTGCCCTCCTGTCCAAAGACGTGTTGGCCACTGTGGTGTTTCCCATCGCACTCATATCCCAAGCCGCTGTCTCGGAGCGAAGACGGGCGCTCAGTTGTGCGAATGAAGGTCTTGGGCCCTCCGCATGCTGTCGCTGTGGAGTGGCACTGTGAGGTACAGTCAAGGGTGGCAGGTATTCATGAACCTGAGCCGCCTGAGGAGGAGTAAATCAACAGAACGAGTAGAAATCGTTGGAATAACGTTCAAAGCTTTGGAACAATTTCCTGCGCCATCTCTCACTTCTATGACCTGTCTCGCTGAATTCAAATATTCCCTGTACCAGCAATTTTGTCAATACACTCTGATGGCATACCAAACGCATTACTTTTGCAATTGCGGTGCTTGCTTCTATTCTTTGTTTTCTAGTGCTCCCCAGAATTAAAACGTGAAATTTCTTTTCCCTACGTGGGGAGAAAAATTTGATTTAAGCTACATGTATATGCATAATTATAGGTTAGTGCAGGGCACGGAGGGCCATATGGCTTGTTCGTATCCTACAGGTTCGCCCATTTGTCCACGGCTGGCGGAACCTTATAAAAACCCAAGATCGAACTCATTATAGGTATCGAAATGTACAATATGTAGCATCCCTGACTGCCAGTAATCACACAGCCAAATCAGACTACAAGTAGATACATTGTAGTTCACAGGTACATTCTATCTAAGTGCTTCTCCCGTGCAACCACGATCAGACAGCCCTGAGTGCATGCCCAGCACAGCATGACAATAGCACCCATTCATGCTGTAGTAATACATGTACATTACATTGATTCCTGTATAGTCCGTTCCCCATCACTGACCCTCTTGATCCCTTGCAAGATTCCTTCCTGTTTCTAGGCATCCAACTAGGGTCCGGCGGATTCTGCCGGCAGAAAAATTGGCAGAATTCGGTACTTTTTCTGGTAAGTTTCATGCATGTTTGGTATGTGGATAAAAAAATTGAGCAGATTTCGAGGAATTGCCCGCCATAAGGTTTGTATAGTTCTGCCAATTTCACGGCTTTTCGAGCAGAATCTGCCACCTTTTCGAGCAGAATCCGCCGGTCTCTACATCCAACAGCTTTCATCCCCGAATCCATGTTATTGTTCAGCCCTAGCTCACACACATTCAAATGGCCTTTCCTTAGATCTTCCAACAGTTGTCTTCCTAGTAATCTTGTGCACTCACTCCCAGCTGCTCTCTCCCCCTGGCCTATAAAAACCCATCATTCTTTCTCATTTCTGTGTGGAATTATGAAGTGAAGAGTTTGAAGCCCAAGAGCTTGTTTTCCTCTGGCTAGTGCTGTCAGCCTATATCACTTTCTGGTGTACGTCCAAAGTGCCTGAGACACGAGCAGGCTGGCAGACACTATAGCTTGTGGAGCTGTTTAGGGGCTTCGACTCGGCCTCCCGTAGCTATGTAGCTACGGAAGGCCGAGTCGAAGCCCCTAAACAGCTCCACAAGCTATCTATAACTATCAAGCTCACAATAATAGTCAAGCATTTCATTTGCTTTGATTCTCCTTTTAGTAGTGCTCACTACTCAGTGCTATTAAGTTAGTTACAAGAAGAAAATGTGCTATACTACCATATCAAATTCTGTCTCCGCCTAAACCACAAAGTATCCCAAGGGTACACAAGTATACTGCGCCCTAGGCCTTACATTGAAACTCAACAGTCATTTGCCAAAGGAGACATACAATGTAGCTTGAACTTTGACTGGATCTACACTGTACTTGGTTAGCTTCTATGCATGGGGGATAGTAACCTCTTTCTTAAAACAGGTAGTGCATGGCCGGTCGGGCCTAATGTGTGGTATCCATGCTATTGACACGTTGCCTTTTAGGCCTCTACGTGACAAGTCTGCCTTATTTAGATGTCTAATTATTTATCTATCTCCCGTAAACGGGTTCATAATCGTCTTTATTTTATTATCTTCACACAAGGCCTGGGGCCTTCCTTATTTGGTATGCCTTGTTATTTCCTAAGCTGGCTGACTCCCGCTCTTTGTGATACAGTTTATACACATTATTGCTAAGGTTTGGTACACTGCGGTATGCGGGTGTACCATGGTTCATTATTTGTGGGGGGATCAGCCTCCTGCCCGTAGTTAGATATTATGGCAATCGCCTTTCCAGCTCTCTCTCTCTCTCTCTCTTGCCTTCCGCCTTTAGGCGGAAGCTTCGGCTTCCGTCTCTCTTGCCTTGTGCTCTCAATATCGTCTCTTGAACCAAGTTAGCTCCTTTGAAGATGTGAGTCAACCTGAACGCTGGTGTGAGTGCACGTGTCTGTATGCCTGAGTGTGTTAGAGAGTATGTCTAGGTATATGTGCGTGCGTGCGTAAGAGTAATAGACCAATCCCGAAAAGATTGTCTGGGTTCGTGAAAGGGGGCACGCGTGCAAGCCAGCACGTGTGAAGTGCATCGTTTTGTATTCAGTTTGTGTGTGTCAGCTCATGGCGGAGAGAGAGACTTTTGCTCGCCGAGCTGAAGCTAAAGGACAGGGGCGGATCCAGGGGGGTGCGAAGGGTGCAAATGAACCTGTCAGGATTTTTAAAAAAAAGAAGAAAAAAAAGGTCAGGCCAGGCCCAGGCTCGCTGCGCGGATCCGCGGATGATTTGTGTGCAATCACGTGATCGTTCTGGACACGTGCTCAACTGCTCGTTGTGCACGTCAACGCGCCAGGGCTGCACATTTGGAATAGACCCTTTTTTGGAATTAACTGTTACTTTTTCACCGGCAACAAACTCACTTCGAAGTTCTTTACTTTTGACGTTGCATGTTTCAGTTGTCGTGTTAGCTTCTTTCAAATTCTCACTGCTTGTTGCGACTCCGTTTCCGTGCATGCTGAGCGGAGATGTCGGACACAGCTGGTGGACCAGCTGGTGAGACCATGGAGCCTGCTGCTAAGCGTCGGTGTGAGAGCCATCATCAACATTCTCCAGGATGCGGAGTGAGGAACTGAACAGCCGCCCTGAATTCTGACTAGAGTTGACATTGTGTATAATAGCATGTACATAGCATAATCTGTGTCTGACTGAGAATCATACCGGTAGCAGTCGTAAATTACTTGTAAATTTTGAAATTCAATGTGTAACTAATCATACTACTCATCTTGGTGCTATGTGTAATTATGATATTATACAGTAACACACATAACATACTATGTCTTTGGTTTACTACTGCAAAAAGAAAATATGTAAGTTTCATCCTCGCACCCCTCAGCTTTGGGGTCTGGATCCGCTCCTGAAGGATTTGATGGAGTCCTGCCAGCAGCTAGTCAAAGGACCTTCGGTACCTTAGCCTAGGCAGACCCTGACGGAGTTTGGAGGCCAGATAGCTCTCGGTGAGGAGAGAAACATTCGCGTGGCGATCGACTCTCCGTAAAAATGCAAGCTACATAGCGCCGACATACTGCAACAGCCACGATTTCAGCTAACTTCTCGATCTGCTGCTTCACAAAGTTCAACTATTTACAAGTCCTGACTGTTGTAGTCTGAAGCTGGAGTCTCATCGCCCACCTACAGGTAGCTTTTGGAGCTGATGGATTTCCCGACTTGGACTCCTTCCGCAAACTCTCGCAACATTACTACAGTGTATGCTGTGTTTCCGCACGCTCGTGTCGACATGTCACCTATACTGTACATGTACTGGGTCGCGGAGGAGCTTGACGACCTCCGCTGACTCCAGGTTCCGAAATACTGCCGTCGTCTTCGTTGATGTCGCTGGTGACATTCTCCCCTTGCAGTACGTGCACATAGTTGTCGTCCCGGGGGTAAAGACGATGTTGTCTTTCGAAATAGTTCTTCATCACGCTCGCGCGAATGATGTTTCTCATCATGAACTCGCTCCAACGGTGTGACGCGGCGATGGTCTTTGGCGGGGCACTGGCTTGGCGAAAACGATATCTTCTTGTGCAATATAACATTGATCGGCTGCAGATGAGTACAGTCACTTCGTGGTTGATCCTATAGGAGGGCAGCTGCCAGGAAAGAGGCAGGACTCATCGAAGACGAAGCGCTCGCAACAAACAATACGGAGGATTAGCAAGACGAAATTCGCGTTTGCGTTTGCAAACATTTTTCAGTTAGCGAACTTTCGCATTTTTCGTTCGAAAAAGTAGTCGGAACACAAATTCGCGGATTCGTGTCAGGACAGTCATAAATTTACTACGCTATACTGCCTGCACACAATGGACGGTGTCAACGTCATGCATGTGCGAAGTCTGTTTGCTAATCCTTCTCATAACGCGAATTCCGTCACTGAGTTCGCCTTTCCTTGGAGAGCGAACGCGAACGCGAATTTCGTCTTGCTAATCCTCCGTACTAGCACTCGAAATATCTCATAAGATTTTGGGCCTATCGCTTTGAGCCACAGCGCTCACAGCCTTGCCTACTTCATCAAAGTGAGCTCTACATGTTCGTTGACTTCTTCACACTACACAGAAGAGCGAAACAAGGATTATGTCTTAGCATTTCCACTCCAACTGCAGACCATTACCAGTGCGAGAGAGAAAACTACAAAGGGCTTTGCTTTCTGTCGCATCGTCTCTCTCTTTCAAACCCATACAATCTTTTCGGGGGTCAAGCAAGGAGTTCAAGAAGTCGTCACGCTGTTCGCAGCGCGATCAAAAAATCGTTGAACGTCACAAATCGACCTTTTTCTCGAAAAAATTACGAAATCTCTAAGGGTCGTTTTAGCTGATTGTGGCTCAAATTATGAAATGCAAAATCGGTGAAGATACCATTTCGTTGCCAAACATTGCACTCTTTCCTGGCGCGGCAGTCATTGGCGGATACTAGGCTTGTTATGTATTAGACGTGACAAGTCGTGCGGAGAGGATATTCCAACAAAATAATAATACTTCAGTATTTACATCTTACAATTTGGGGAGCTTCACTTACATTTGGCAAGTCCGATAGAACGTTGTTGCTGGTATCCAGAGGAGGACGCTGAACGACATCTGGATAGAGAAAGGGTCCGCATTGTGAAGCATTCATCTTGGCTAACGGCTGAGAGGCTTGGCTACTGAAAAAATGGGGGAAGTTGTGAACAGACGGAGATACTGGCTTCATATAAGTAATAATCAGCTCTGATGCTCTCCTCTACACCTTGTACACTGAGCACAGGTTTTATTACCATGCACGGAGCTGTCAAGTGGGTGCTGGAACATCAGCTGCTGTGTCCTGCGGGGCTAGCGACTAGCGTGATCGAGTGCGGCTCGACCTGTCGATCATGTCCCGCGCTATGCATATGGCGAAGGCTGTGTTCACCACGTGGCCAAGACAGTGACACAAAGTCGTATGGAGTTGTGGAGCTATCCAGCTGTGAAGTGGCCGCTACTTGCACAAAGGCACATGCACCCAGCTCCCTAATAACGTTTGATCCTCGACCTCGTCTTTGATCCCACACTCGTACTCCACAGCCTGTGAAGAAAAATACTTGTTCCCTATCAGGCATGCTGGTATTGTACGTCAAACATGTATGTCGCACATGTATTGTACGTCAATGGCATTATGCTAAATAGACAAACTCTCAACCGCTGCTGTGTCCTGACAAGTACCGACTGTTGTGCGTCCCTGTGTGGTATTGGCCTGCACCGAAACGCGTGCCTTTTTCTATAAAATCTCCCGACACTGAAGTGAATAATGGAGTGGTCTCCACCGTGTAACATGCTGTCAACCAAGTGTACGCTTCTTGTTGGCTGAGTATTCGAAAGAAACGAGAGGCAATGTTCTCTCGAACTTGGAATATTTGCGAAGCATGTTTTAGGCTTACCGGTATTATTTTCTTTGTGTCTTGCAATTATGTGGCTGTCCGCAGCTGACCCTGCACTGTGATTTTGCTGTTGCAAATGTGAGGTGTGAGAGAGAACAACATGACGTCATTGTGTTCAACAATACACTTTACAAGGTTTATCTAATACTGTACATACACTGTACATGTACATGTAGCAGCAACAATGACATACGTACATGAACATGACACTCTACAGAGCTAGAGCAGAACAACAAGGACATTCAACTCTCAGTTTCAGGAAAACAATGGCGAAAGGTAATCTTTCAATCCGTAATCGTTCACTCGACTATGGATTGGACCTGGAGGCTGACGTTTTGGATGTTGGTGAACATTGTCAAGTTCTTGCTAGCTGAGGCTGTCCTGTGAGACAACTGTATCGACAAAGCGGTCTATGACGAGGACGAGCAAAGATACATGTAGCACTGAAACCAAAACGACCCGAGTCGCACAAGGGCAGAGTACACAAATGCACGTACATGTAAGCCTAAAGCAGAGGACGGAGGAGTTCCTGAGCGAATTGTTAGCTGTGTCGGCTGGCAAGATAGTGAGATAATTGGATTGTCACACCGTTACTACTACATGAAGGTGAGAATTTCATGACAGTGCATACTGCCTACTGCAGTCATCCATTATAATTATAGTGTCATTGAACGTCAACATTGACGTGATAAACGATGGTTTGGGGACTCATTTGCTTCATCCCCTTACTTCCATACGGATACATGGACACTCCACAGTCACGTACACTGCCATTGTGGTCGCGCACGAGCCCGATCGTTCTACAGCTCGACTTCACCACCCAGGACTGAGGGAGGACATGTTTAACGTCAATCAAGCTCCTCGTATTTGTCCATCGTTGTCCTTTCTTCCGAGCTAGCTCCCTCTTCACCAGCTTCTTCCTGAGTAGGGGGTTACCTTCTGCAAGCACCATTTTGGCCCGGTCCTGCGGGTCGAGCGACCATACAGTTCAGGGGCGGATCCAGAGATCTCTACAGGGGGGTTCCGGTTGAACCAAAATTGAACAGCCAAAATATGATGGAATCAAATGTGCGGTTGACACTTGTAATAACGACAATCCGATTGTGTTAGTGGGAATCGCATGCTTTTAAAACACACTACGGACATAATAATTATTATATTTTTCCATCATCGACCACACCACAACTGCGCTCTCCAGCCGGCCTCGACACGTAACCAAAGTCGTTGCCACAGCACACCACCATCGCTGGAGACTGAGTCGGAGCGCAGTTGTGGTGTGGTGGACGATGGAAAACCTGTACAGGGCCAAATGCTGCTGTTTACCCTACATTGTATTATTAAATTTTAGTACGGACACATAATCATATACATGTTTGCAATCGACTGGCACACCGGTTCAGTGAGGGCTTGAAGACCCTTTCAACTGTTACTTCTTGTAAAGATCGAATATGCAAGCCATGGGTACGTTGAGAGCCAGGAATGCCGAAATGACAACTACAATTATAAGTTACTTTCCCTGTCCATTTGTACTGTCGGAAATTTTGGCATTTTTACGATGCGAAATGCTCTATAGTCAAAGGACAAGAGCATCGTCTTCACTTCAGTGACAGAAACAACAACAGCGAAACAGTGTCGACAATTTTACAATCCTTCCAATGTCATCTAAAACACATCGCTGGCGCAGCACTCCGTTCCTGCGGAGGAACAACTAGTGACTACTGCATGCTGCAGCAAGTAGAGATTACTGACTTTCCTTGGATGTCGGAGCCCTCATCTTCTGAGGAGCTTGAACTCTACGTGTACGGTTCGAAGTTCGTTGAAGAGTGTCAGTACTCGGAACATCCTTTCTCTTCTGCAAAAAACTTGTCCAAAGGAATACTGACCACACCACACCCATCCTGAGCAGCAGTGAATGACAGCGCCAATGGAGGTAAGTTTGGATCGTTTCGAAAGATTGATTGATTGATTGATTGATTTTATTTTACTTCGCAAGTTCAAACGGGTTCCTGGTCCAGTTATATGAAAGCGAAGGATAGAATTTGCCAAAATCCTAATGAGCACCAGCATAGGCAATATTATCATAGAAGTGGAGTACTATGCGAGCGAGAATACTGAGAAGAAAGGAACATGTCAAAACCTGACGAAACACAACCTATTTCAGGCATACATAAGGAAGGCAGGCTAGCTTAAAATCTTGCAATCTGGATACGGTGCGCACCTCTCTAGGCAAACTGTTCCACAGCAATGCTCCTGCGGTGGCGAATCTCGTTTGGCCACACCGACTGCGAGCTGGCTGGCTGAGCAGACCATCGGCATGCTGATGGCGCGTACTTCTGCCGCTGCATGCTGCTGGTTTGAGAAGCTGGGCTAGAGCAAGGCTAGTGGAGTCATTTAGACAACGCCAGATGAAGATCAGGAGCTTTTGCTTGAAAAGTTCAGTGACGCAGTCAAAAAGGAAACAACCACCCAATGTTGTCTACAGACCAGTGTCCGTTTGTAAATCACTAACGTGAACACCAGTCAGTGTCTGCTCCAGCGCCGGGTGAGCCGGGTAATCCACCCAGTTGGGCGGCGCTTGAACCCGTTTGAAAATATAGTACCGGGTCACCTGTGACCCGGTTGGTACTTGGTAGATCCTGTCCTCTCTTTTCTAAATGCGGCTTATCCATTCGCCTTTATATCATTGGGCCTAGTTCCCGTTTATTGTCCGAATTAAAATAAACCAACCGATCAGGTAAAGCATGTGACTCGGCTGGTGAGACAGCGCCAGGTACATGTGTACCCGGCTCCCACCCGGTTGAAATGGTTGCGCCAGGTACACGTGTACCCGGCTGTCCTACAATCCTAGACTAGAGCAGACACTGCCAGTACAGACTACTATACGTACAGTATCGATCCACCGCACGCGAGTGCACTGACGTCTGACGATGTAGTCATAACTGACTCAGTGACTGCACTGACTGTGATCAGACGTCGACGGACGGCCTTTTGTGCACACATGATATTTTTCGATATTTTCTCAGCCGCACACTTTGCAAAATCTAGGGGGTTAATGGTTCCAGGGAACCCCCCCCCCCCCCCCCCCTGGATTCGCTACTGCAGTTCATCGGCGCAGTCCTGAGAACCAGCTCCCGCCTGATCTCCGTTCCGAGCCCAGCCACCTTCAGTTCTGTGTCCTACTAAAAGCGCATCACAGCTCCGTTTACATGCTTTTCGGCTAGTGTGTTTCTGTGGTATAGCGGACTGAAGAATAGGAAACGTGTTTCGCAATGGTATGATGTTATTTTGTAGATACATGTAGTATATTCCCATTCGGTTTTTGCTTGAGTGTAGCCCTGAGGTTGACTCACTTATTTAATTTCTACCCTTCCCCTCTCCATATTTCTGTCCACCACCCTCTCTCTCTCATTCCCTCTGTCGTCCGCATGTACATGTATATAAGGTGTGGTGCGACGTTAAGGTGGCAGACTACCCAAAAATTCGCTGGTGTGCAGCGCTGTGGAACTGGCTTGCTGTGGAGGTCCCAGCACTGGATGTTGTATCAAAGGTACGACCTCGTAGCACGTGCTTAACCTAAAAAAAAATCAAAAATTGACTTGGGTCTGTGTGAGTGTGTGAGAGAACCTCCACTCGTTCCTTTGTGACAGATTCCAGGGCCTCGTTGAGGGGCCCTACCCCATCAGCCATGGCTGCTTCTGGACTTGTTCTAGGTTTGGGTCCTGCGCACGGACAGAATGAGCACGAAAATGTGAAAAAATTGTAAATGCATTTGTTTGGCTCCTGGGTGGCTCGCACACCGTGGCACTATGCCGGAAATTTGAGTTTTACCGGCCTGGAAAGCCTGTCAGTGAGGCGCAAGAACTTGTAAATCATGTCCTGAGGGCCAGCATAGTGGCAGGAGTGTGTGGTCAAAATTTCACTCAAATCCATTGAGAAACACCAAAGTTACGGTCAATTGAATGCCATATGAAATTTATGGGTAGGCTGCCCCCTTAAAATAAACTTCTAAAACAACAACAATATGTACACATACATGTACATGTAGTTGTGTTCAGTAATCAGCCTCATGAGGTAAATACCTGTATCAATTTTTACTGATTAAAAAAAAAGTCCCAACAAGGTGTCATTACAATGGGGCTGTTAAGTGTGACGTCACGGCTCCTTCGATACGCATAGCAACGGAGAGTTGTTGTTGTTGTAGAAGTTTATTTAACGTCGCACCACAAACAGGCGATTTCGCCTCCTTTGATACATGTGGACGACAGAAGGAATGAGAGAGAGAGAGAGGGGGGGGACAGAAGTATGGAGAGAGGAAGGGTAGAAATAAATGAGCAATCAACCTCAGGGCTACACCAAAGCAAAAACGGAATGGGAACATACTATATACAAAATAGCTTCATACATATATTGCAAAACACGTTTACTATTCTTCAGTCCGCTATACCACAGAAACACACTAGCCGAAAAGCATTTAAACGGAGCCATGATGCGCTTTTAGCAGGGCACAGAACTGAAGGTGGCTGGGCTCGGAACGGAGATCAGGCGGGAGCTGGTTCCACAGGACTGCGCCGATGAACTGCATGGTCGCTCGACCCGCAGGACCGGGCCAAAATGGTACTCGAACGAGGTGTTGTGCTGCTCCCCGAGTGCGGTCACCAGTAACTCTCACGAAGAAGCTGGTGAAGAGGGAGCTAGCTCGGGAGAACAGACAACGACGGACAAAGATGAGGAGCTTAATGTTAAACATGTCCTCCAGGGTGGTGAGGCGGAGCTGTTCAAAGATCGGGCTCGTGCGCGACCACGGTGGCAGACCGAAGAAGCCGCGGATAGCGCACTTCGTTAGACGTGTGAGGGGCTCCATGTTGCCAATTTGAAGTGACGGATAAAAGGCGTTGGAAGCGTACGACAACCTACCCTGGATCATCGACCTGTAAAACAGGATCTTTGACGCCAGGGTGAGGCTTCGGCGGTTCCGCCACAGCGCACCTACTGACTTCCGCACCTGCTGGATTGAGTGATTGACGTGAGGCTCCCAGGAGAGCTGCCCATCTACCATTACGCCCAGGTACCGCGCTTGTTCCACAACTGCAAGGGCTGCATTCCCACAGCGAATTCGAATGTTATCTGTGTCAGGGGCTGGGCCTCTTGGGGTAATCAACAGAGCTTGCGTTTTCTTTTGGTTCAGCATTAGTCCGCGGTCCTCCAACCACTGCGACAGGCCAGTGATGGCTGTGCTTAGAGAAGAGCACACTTGTTCGCAACTGCCCGAGGCTTCAATTGCAATGTCGTCTGCAAATTCCTGGTTTGTGACCTGCTGGGGCAAGCAGCATCGAAGGTTACGGATGTATAGTGTGAACAGGAGGGGGCCGAGGACGGATCCTTGCGGCACCCCTCGACTGCATGCGACGTATTCCGAGCAATTTCCGCCCACGACTACGCGTTGAAGCCGCTCACTCAGGTAACTAGTGAACCATAGCTGGACAGTACCGCCGACCCCAATGTCGGATAGCTCCTGTGCCAAGATGGTGTGTTTGACACAGTCGAAAGCCTTCGACATATCTACGAATATCACACCTGTGAGTTTGCGCTCATACTTCGCTTTCAGCCAGCGATTGACAGCTAGCACAAGAGCGTCCTCCGTACTGTGGTTCTTCCTGTACGCGAACTGCGAGTCAGGGAGAATACTGTGATCGGTCAGAAAGGATGTAAGCTGAGCTTTGACGATCTTCTCGAGGAGGCGAGAAACGACTGGTAGTAGAGAAATAGGTCGATACGCAGTAGGCTGACAAGGGTCAAGGCCGCCACCTTTGAATAGCGGCGACACATTAGCAATTTTAAACTGACGGGGAACACACCCCTGACATAACGAAGTATTGAAAATGATGCTGAGCGAGGGAGCCAGTATTGATGCCGAGTTTCTAAGGACAATACCCGGCAAGTCATCATGTCCAGTTGCTTTTGACGCGTCAACGGACTGGAGAAGGGCCGTAATGTCCTCCGTCGAAACAGGCGCAAATTCCGTGAATGCTGGTGCTTCACGTTCGGCTGGTGCGTTGGCGCACAGCGCGTCTGGTCGTCCAGGGTCATGTACAACTTCGCCAAAAGTTCGGGAGAGGATTCCAACAGGTACTTGTGGTGGGCTTGAACTTTTCGCTCGTCCAGTCACCACGTTTATCGTATTCCAGAGCTTCCGTCCATCCTTTCCGGCCGACTGTAGGCGAGCTTGAAAATACTGATCCCTTAGCCTCCGATCTAGCTTGCGCGCGGCTGCGCGGAGAGTGCGGTGTTGCTCTCGCAGGCGGACATCGTTTGGAGAGCGTGAAAGAAGTCGGTGGGCCTTGTTTCGTTGACGCACAGCAGATACAAGTTCAGGACACAACCATGGGCAAGGTCGGCGCCTCGGCTTACGAGGAGGTTGTAAGGGGCGTGACGATCTAGAGCAGTAAAAACCTTTGCGTACCATTCGCTTATCATTGCATCAACATCATTCGACTTGCTGAAAATCTCAAGATTGCAGTCCTGCAAGTCAGCGTTAAAATGCTCCCAGTTTATCCTCCACACTCGCCTCTTTCGAGATGCGACTCGTTCGGACTGCCGGGTGGCGACGATAATGTTGGCCACAAATGCGTAGTGGTCGCTGATGTCACACTTGATGACCGTGCATGTTCCAACTAGAGAGTTAGGGGCGAGGAGCAGATCTATTAGGGTGGAAGTTGATGCCGTTACTCTTGTCGGTGTCCGGATGTGGTTTTCCAGATCAAACCGCTGGAGCATGGTGTGCATCCGGCTGTGTCCCGAGCACATGTCCACATTGAAGTCACCAATGGCGACCACGTGGTTGTTTCGTCGCAAGGTTAGATTGTTCAGACTGATTTCTAGGTCTCGCCATACTGCAGCAGTAGTGGAAGGCGGAAGGTAGAACGTAGCGAGGGTGATGGGTTCACCGGATTCTGTCTTCAAGGTGAGTATCAGATTTTCGATTGTGTCACTCTCGAGTTCAGCGTGTCTGGAAACAGCCAGGGTATCTCGACTGTATACAGCTATACCGCCACCAGGTCTGTGCCCGCGATCGCGCCTAAAGAGTCTATAATGAGGTATATGAATGGATGAGTCAGAAATCGAACAATCAAGCCAAGTTTCAGCAATGCCGAAGATATCTACATTGTGGTAGTTTATGAAGTTTTGGATTTCGCCTAACTTCTTTCTAAGGCTGCATACATTCAGAAAAGCAAGTTTACAAGACTTCTGTCGACCGACAGTAGCTCTATGTAATTGTGGATTCATTTAATAGATCTATAAGGAAGAACTACATCTAGAAACTAATCCAAAACCTAAAACAAAAATACACAGGCAGTTCAAGCATACTATTTCAAGGTGCAGTTCACTGCACCACTTCATGACGGCTCCTACCGCGGCCGTCGTCACCCTCACACTCTTCCTCCCAGTCCGACCCAGTACCATAGAAGTCGTCTGTCTTGGTGGTCGGGCAGACAGCCTTCGCGGACAAGTCGGCACTGGATGATGCGTCACTCCTGGCTCCTCCCTTACGCTTCCTCTCCATGGAGTGCTCCAGCGCACTAAAGCGGTTCGCGACAGAGGGAAAAGCGGACGCGGTTTGTTGCAAGATTATTGGAGAAAAAGTAGAACACTTTCCACCTGCGACGTGCCAATCTTGCACCGGGGTAGGGACAGAAGATCCAGGAGCTGGAGTGGAAGTTACAGCTGCTTCAGTACCGGTTACATGTACTGCATTTGTATTGGACGCAAGGCTATTGTTGTGTTGCGCGTGGTCGTTAGAAGATGCAGCCACAAAAGGTTTCTGGGGAGTTGTGTTGTCTCCTTTACCACCGGGTTCAGTTACGTGTCCCGCGGCAGGTGGGACTGGTACGGCTGTGTCATGGTGTTCTGAAGAGCACTGGGGACAAACAAAAGTCGCGTCCTCTGGATGGAACCAGATGTCAAGGGCAACAGCATCTAAATGACTGGAGGGACAGTTGTTTTTCTTTGCTTTTTCTTCAAGCGATTGTTGTCGCTCTTTACTCCTTGTTTTTTCCTCTACAAAACTCCTGTAGTCGTCGAGTGCCTTAATGATGGCTGTGAAATTGGCTGCCCACAGTAAAACTCCGTGTTTGAGAGTGCTTTGAAGATGTTTCGCGTCCGGATGGATCAAAGTATGAGCGCTCCTTGTGGATTCGATTATATGTAGGTGAGTTGTTCAAGAAATCAGTGTCTTCTTTCTGTCTCTGCCCTCACGCTGGCACAATATCAGCCTCTATATCCATGACAGCTCGTACCTCCCGTAAACTGCATAACTTAGATATATTTTCGCCCTCCGTGGTGATTGAAGACCCATGGAAGAATTTATTATGTTCAGAATGATGTCCTAAGAATATAAAATAAAATAATTCTAGGGAATTGTCATAGGGTATTTTTGGAAGGATGGAGACAGAGAGAGCACTGTTTGAAGTGTTTGTCTCACTGTAATTACTCCAGATTATTGAATGTTGTATGATCTACTCTATATTTTCCATAATGGCTTTTCCTGATTTGCGGGATCTCTTCTTTTGCTGTTTGCGTGTTTACAGGAAGTGGCTGTCTGGTGTAACTGCACCAGATCCTGGGGAAATTAAGTCAGATGCAGAGGCAGGGTCGTCCAGTGATGCAACACTGCCGTTCTGTGTGCAACGTTAGCGAAAACACAAAAAAGACAAACACGTGAAAAGACTACAGTATTGACCGTTCTGCTAATAAATGCATGACTGCTCCGACAGTCGATAATCGAAACACAGAGCACCAGCATGATGTTTTCATATTGGGAACCACACAACAGCTCAATTCTCAAGCCCAAAAATTGATGAATACAAATACAGAGCGACGCAACAAGAGGTCATCCGGCAACCAAACAAACCTGGGTCTAATGCACTGAATAGTCCTGAAATACGCAGGCCAGACAAAGCAGTGCAAGCACATAATGTTACAAGGTACATGCATTGCAGAACAAAGTGTAACCAAAGATACACAGGGTTATAGCTGCACACTTGTGCATGTGCTCGCTCAGCCCAAGAACACACGATCATGATGATAGAAACAATCCGGGGGAAATACGCTAACACCGAAGTAAGCATCAACACGTAAATAGTGCAGCTCTGAAAAAATTACATTGACATGAACATTGGTGTGTCGAGTAGTATCAGGCTTGAATAATCATCCAACCAAGACTTCATCAGGTCCCAGACGCTGAGATCGCACGCCGAATGTGAAGTTCGTCTAGCCTTGAACCTGTCGCACAAGGCACACATATTATGGCAAAATGACATCCACTCTGATTATTTCCAGAGGCCAATCATGACAGAACACAGAAATGAAACCACGGGCTCAACCAAGTAAACGCAAAGGAAGTTAGTCAAAATAATCCATGCAGTGCTCTTTTAATTGCAGCGCTGATTGCAGTGTTGCGTCATAGCCCGATACCCGCTGAGCACAGACACAACTCCATTCGTCAGGGGCAAGACATACTCTTTTGGAATAAAGTCATAAAGTACAGCGTTCCAATGACATTACGGACACCTCGTGTAAATGCATGGTCTGTTCATCTGGCCGACTCGGCCACGCATGAGAGTGTGTGCATGTACATGCGTGCGCTTGCGCACGCGCACACACACACACCATGTATTCGGTGCGTATGGTGTACCAGTTGCGGGACAATGAAGATGGAATCATTATCATGATGTTACATGTACATCTACAGTGTATGTTTGAGTGTAAAGTAAATTTTATTTTATTGCACATTTCTTCGACACAACTAATTACTTACTTCACATGTTCGCATTTCTCATAATCGATCCACCTGCACTCCGTATCAGTCGAGGAAAAATTCTCCCAGATATACACTAGTCACCACAGCCATGTGATGACATTGGGATGGGCCCCAAGCAGTGCACGATTGCACTCTCTAGTTTCAATAAATTTGGCCAGATTTATCTGTGAAGACAAAATGCAATGCATAGCGCCAATCGATGGATGAAGAGAGAGTTTGTAAATACCCATATCTTTCCACTTGTTCAGGAGCTTACCTTTTGGAGTTCACATCGTTTACACGATCTCTCATGCTGTCTTGCACCTTGGTTTTGTTGACCATGGATACGCCAACCCAGAAAACATTCTACAGGAGCTACTAATGCAGAGCGTTTTTCACGCTCGATCTCGGCGATCTACCTTGTCACGCAAATAAAATCCTCCATGACACTTGCTACAGTCACAAGAGACGTCTCAGTAAGGTAATGAGCACGACAACATCGTCGAGATCAAGGACAAAGAGAAAACAAAACACTCACTGAAAACAGCAAACAAGAAACGAAGAAATGTACACGATTCCTAAAATGTTGCCACTGACAACTGGGTCGGTGGAGACGACGCTACTTTTGTTTGTCCCCAGTGGGATCGTTGTTATGCGTATCGAAGGAACTGTGACGTCATCACTTAACAGCCCCATCATTGTCCTGTCCTGTAGAGTCACTGCCGCAAAAGGGTCACGTGATCCCATCACTGGGAAACTTGAGAAGAGAGAGAGAGAGGTCACGACGCTCGATGACGCTCCAGGTGCACGGGTAGTCGCATCCGCTTGCCGCATATGCACACGTGCTGGAAGGCTGAGCGCTCCTCTGTTGGTCTATGCGCCACCCTTGAACAGCGATGCCTGCCCCGTCCCCGGACACCGCGAAAGCAGCGACCACACCTGTCACAATGCGCGGCACAACATCCCTCCGCCGGTGCCGACGTTCCGGTAGTTCCAGGTGGCACTGCGGCATCCACCGTTGAGGCACACACATGCCGGACCAAGCCACCGCGGCTTCTCAGCCACCGCCCACACCGCGCGCACTGACTGGCAATCATTGTACATACATGTACATGTACATGTACATGCATGCTTTTTTCCACAGGTACTACATGTACATGTACATGTTGTTGGTTTGACAGCATGAAACAAGGTGGAGGACACCGTGTTCGGAAACAATGACCTTACTACAACCATCCACGGTTGGTAGAGCCCCAGTCCGTGGGGACCATCTGAACCATATGGGTGTTGAACCCGGTTCTGACGCTCATTATGCAAGGGGAATTTTAGACTTCTCCTAACGTCAGTCGTGTATTCCTTGATCGCTCCTGGATGTCGCCCTGATAGTCATAAATAAAAGTAGCCATTCTAATCTGAACTTAGCAGTTGCGACTTCGGCGGTAATAGTCATGAAGTTGATTGTTCCAACTAGGAACACACGCTTCTTGCCGAACTCGACACTTGACTGACCCACGACTGCCATCCGAAGCCCACGAGGAGCACGTCGCACCTTCCACTCGGCAAACCTGCAAGAAAGCACCACTCCCTGCTCAATACACGGTGTTTCGGGGAATTCACCCCTCATCAGTTGAGCTTTAGTAGGCTGAGGAAGATTGTGCCTGAAAACTTTAAAAAGCACCACTTATATACTGCTCTCCAGGCCAAACCATCAGCAGGAATAAAAACTTACAGAGACGCTTTGTTTCCAGCGCGACAAACACCGGATGGCAGTCGTGAGTCAGTCAAGTGTCAAGTTCGGCAAGAAGCGTGTGTTCCTAGTTGGAACAATCAACTTCATTCTAATCTGAATTGTTTTAGCTCCTTTCTTCTTCCAATTTCGTAGTTAGGTAGTAGGAATGAGCACAGTTCAGTCGACAAAGCAACTATTCAGTTGAGCAATGTTAGGCCCGGGAACTACGTGATATGCGACTGAGGTAGAAACAATGCGTGGTAAACAATGCGCGGTAGCCCTGTAGACTATGAAAAGATCAACTGGCGTACTCAAAGAAGCAGCCAACCGCGGTCGTCGAATGCATTGGCGAACCACAAAAAAAGAAGAGCAGCCAACGGAGCCATCAAGAGCACAGATGTAATTTTCATTGAGGCCCAAGTACTGGTCGTGGAAACACGGATGAACAGAATAATAATTAGGGAGTCCATCGAGATTCGAGAACGGCGCCCGGAGATCAATACCTCCTTCGGATGGCCATTGAAGGCGCTATCACCCTCACAGTGAAACTGCTAAATCTTGCTGTGTCTGTACAGGATTGTACACACAATGATCGTGGTATACACCTTCGTACACACATTTCCTGCGTGTTATCTGCTGAGCTGTTGCATACCCACTCTTTCACTCATTTCTCCTTGTCGGTTGTACATGCAAATAATTTAATTACTTCGAAGTAAGACAAACCCCCTTTTATTTAAAAAATAATTATTCCCGGTATTTATATTTACACGTACAATCGATAATCATGCATGATAATGTATCTTTCACATTCTTGCATCGCGCACACTTACTGTCTTTTGTCGTCCGCCATGTATATCTACTGACTGTATACACATGACTGAGTACAATGAATGTAACTTGTAAGTACATGTAATTATTTTGTTTATCAAAACATCACCCATACCCATGGCATGGGAATGATGGGATGGACCCCGTACCGACTGAGTCTGTGGCGCAGGTGGTATAAGAGGGAGAACACCATCACCATGATCACCGATGTCCGTGCCTTGCACCATGTGCACCGTGCCTTGCACGGTACGGCCGTGGCAGCCGTCAATCATCAAGTGCTGGAGATCCTGTAGTGTAGGGCCTATCGCTAGCCCCTGTTTACTGACAGTCTGTGTAGACCAATGAAATGGAGAGGGCTAGCGCTAGCCTAGCCCTATAGTACTATACTAGTACTGATAAAGTACCGGTAGCGATATCGCCTTGAACGCTGAGCTGAAGACAGTGAAGTGATCAGGGTTTCGTTTGTAGCACACATTTTATTTTGGAGTCGACAGAGCTAGAGAGTAGAGTGCTACAGTACATGACTGTGCAGTGCACTGCCGCTAGGTGCAGTCTGTCTGCGCTAGTCACCATCAATCCCCATCCATCTGGGCACGGCCGGGCGTAGATTCCGCACGCTCGGTTCGAGTTCGAGATGTCGTCGGTGATGGACACACCTTGTATTTGTAATCGCACGCAGATGCGAATAATTATTATTTACGTCCCCTAACATTTTTATAATAATTGCTATCAAAAAGAAACTTTCTCTTGGATAATTTCAGATTGTAGAATACCTTTCAAGGCCTTTGTGGCAATGAAGCTGTCCGGACGCTAGTGTGTTTGGCCGGTATTTGAATTATCGAGAAGGATGTCGCGTCCGAGGCGGGGGCGCAAGCCGCTACTCTCCCGGAGTTTTAGCCGCTTCCTCGCCGAAAGTGGCTATCCGGCGCGATGGCGCAGAACAGCGTCAAATACAAACTGGAAATGCTGTTGGTAACACTGCCGCAGGCCGTCTTGCAGAGAGATATTAGCACGGTTGAGCTGATGCACTCAGTCTCAGGTCCAGCCACTGCCCCGCCTAGTAAAGGAGGTACGTATGGAGTCCTGGAAATGAATGGAGCTTGTGCAATGTCCTCTAACAATTTTAATTTCTCAAGGTACTGCTGAGACGTCCACTCAGTTTATAACTGTGCCTCCATTTATAGCGTCATTTGACGATGTTTGGCTTATTTCACCCTTGAGGCAACAAGTAGAGGCGGAAAATGCAGTCCACTGAAGATCATAATAACTACATGTATGTCCCTAAAGCCTGCTCAAGCTACTGATAGATACCAAGATGAGTATTTGAAGTTAGGGGCGTGCTCGGCCCCCCAACTAGGGGGGTGCACGGGAGCCTGCAATTATTTGTTTGCAACCTTTCTTGAGCATATTTGCATACATTACAATTGCAATTACCCAGATTGAAAATTTTTGGGGGGTGCACGTGCCCCCCTGCCCATCGACGAGCACGCGCCTGGAAGTGATCAGCCAAGTGTCTCTTCACATGTTTGGTTTCAGCGTGATACATGGAGAAGACTTGCTGGTCATTGTTTATACATTCCTAGATCCTCGCTATCATAGGCCCTGGCCCAAAGGATCTAGGACGACAGGCTCCCTGAAAACATTACAGCCTCCAGCAATCAATTATTAAAGCATGTGACTTACTCAAGTGGTCACTTCTCTCTGTGCATGTGCTGTGATGTACATACATAGAGTGAAGTGGTGGGCAGGCTTGGGCATCTGCTAGCCACAATGGTGGATACTTCCGCAGCATGAGCAAAATTAATAATTCCCCATGGCTTACCAATGTAATCTCATTATGCTGTGTCATGCACTGCAGCACGGCATGTACAGGATATGACAATACATACATGAGTACGGGTGAATGGTGCATCTCTGCATGTACATAATACTGTTGTGGATCGCACAACATTACGAAAATTAATGGCTCCTCAGAAAGATTGGCACCCCCCCCCCCCACATGACACCCACACCCACCATGTACCATGTATACGCCCGTCGCCAGAGAAGCACGCAAACTGCAAATGCTCTGGAAGTGAACCCACAGATTTCCTCTTTATAGCAACGATAGCGGATTTGATTCTGAATAAAACAGATCAGGACAAGTGCCAGATAACTGTCTTATCCACACAACTGGCGAAGCCATGTGAATCGGCCCCCCTCACCCCCCCCCCCCCCCCCCCTCCCAACGCACACCTGGTCTACACCACATGGAATATATCGGAATAGGACGGCCAAGACAGTTACCTATGGGCAGCCTTCACTTGCTGGGGTAACCAATATAGGCAGCGTGTTGCTTTGATAGAAGCAGACACTAGATGCACTGGTACCTTGAAGTGAAATTGGAATTACTTTACGAACCAGCTTCGGCTACTGAGTACTGGGAATCGAGGGCCAACAGAAATACCAACAACCTCGGCCATGAAAGCTATACAAAAAAATGTAGTAACAACACACTGGATTGTGGAGCCGAAACTGCTAGTCCAACTTCCAAATGCTTTGCCAAGAAGGCAGTCTTCCGATAGGTAGGCAACACACACACACACACCACACACACGCACACAAACACACACACCACACGCACACACACCACACGCAACTATGGTATTGACCCCAAATGCACTGATTTGGACTCTGATTTTTTTTGGAAAAATTATATGCATATTCACCGACCCCATGATTAACTTTTAAAAGTTTACTTTATTTGGCTGACCGTGCTACTGTAAAATGCCCTCCGACACCACAGAGCTGTCCCTGCTAGAAGTTGCGGCAATATTCTTGAAAGCTCGAGCAAGAAATTGCGGCAGAAAGCAGCAAAAACATGCGGCAAAAAGTGCGGATGCACTAAATGCATACGTGTAGACATGTATCCATGTGTTGCTACGTATAGCGGAAAAGATGCGGAACTTGCCAGGAATTCACGGAATTCATAGCGGACTAGGGCCAAAATCACAAAATTTGTTGCATCCATTGGAATCTCTATTTGCGCGGTAGATCTACTCGCGACTAGTACGAGTCGTACTGTGAAAATAACGTACAGAATCATGCACAAGACTGCATGAAAACTGCAGAAAATGTATAAAAAGTGTAGAAAAAAAACAAAGAACGCGAGAAACGGGGGATTTTGCAGAAAATCGCGGATTTGGGCCGAAATTGCGAATTTGCTGCATCCGTGGAATCGCGATTTCCTGGAAGGACAGACTGAGAGTACTAAACACTGATTGAAAACATTGTGTCGGAAGGTAATGATTCCATGGGACTATAAAAGGTATTGGAAGTGGTATTTGAAACTAGGGTTACCCTTCCTCGTACAGGGTGCACATTTAGCACCAACGAAAGTACGGTCTTACGGATCGAGTGGACACTGAAAACAGTCAGGTGGCCTTGAAGTTTTTGCAAGCGTTTTCTAATGCTACTTCGAAGTACAATGATAGCAGTACTTTTTCTTCTCTACCAGTGTCTACCAGTGTAGACAGGCCTGTCACAAACATTCATGCAGAGCTTCAAAATCTGCATCCGCACTTTCTTTCGTACGTAATAACTAGTGACAATAATAATAATGTAGAAAGGAAAAGGAAATAATTATAGCAACATAAGTTACGAGTTGAGAGTAACTCTCCATCAATTTTGTTCCAAATGATAATAATAATAATAATGTTTGATAGAAAAGAAGTGTCTACTGAATTGTGTGGATTTGCGTCGTTGCATGCGAATACTTATTACGAAACTGTTTTCCCACCGCCTCCAAACTACTGTTTGAATAATAATAATAATAATAATAATAATAATAATAATATTAACTGGTTTGAGGGAAGTAATAATTTTTTTGAGAGTAACTCTCCATCACCTTTTGAATTGAGCATGTGTTCTAAATACATGTAAATGTAAATGCAAAACAATATAAAACAAAAACACAAACAATGAGCAATAACTTCAGGACTGGGCACAAGTCCTAAACCAGTAAAAGGTGCAAGAGATAATAATCAACCTTGCGACCTTTGTTTCAAATAATAATAATATAAATAATAATAATATTCACTGGTTTGAGGGAAATAACAATTAAAAAATAAATAAATAATAATAATAAGTTCTTGTTTAAGAGTACATGCATTACCCGTTGATGCTGCCCAGTCCAATGACTGTGAAAGAATGACAGCACATTATGAAGGAATGTTACCACATGCTGCACAAGTCGGATAGCGGTCAATTACGATCTTCTGGCTGGCTACTATCTTCCTAAGTTTCTCTATTGTCTCTGCCTGTTCCTGGATTTTCTGCGAGTCCTCTGCAGACTTCATCTTCGCCTTCTGTCTGGAACGCGCGGCTGCCACCTTATTTCGGCTGCGGCGTCTCCCTATTCTCTCTTGGTTTTTCACCTCTTGTTCGTTTTGGCGTAGGGCGATCTCCTGCATAGATATATACGTAAGCATGGGAAGAAGTACAAATTAGCAAGCGCTTTATACCATTATCATTGTGACATGAACTGCACATCATTACCATCCGTTTCTATTGCCAATGTCACCTTCCCAAAAATGCATATACCCTATTTCCCCGAATATAAGTCGCACCTTTTTACACTTCATTTCAGGGACAACAAAGGGGTGCGACGTATAATCAAGCATGACTTACTACTGAAGTGAATATAATCAAAACGATAACGACATGTTGAGTCACCTCCACCGTTACACTGCGCTCTTTAGCCGACTAGACCCTCCTGCACACAACCATCACCATTGCGAGGACACTTCCTTAGACGATATTGATAAACTCCTCCAGACAGCTGATTCGCTAATACATAGCTCATAAGTGAAGGTAGATGTTGAATGGTTAAAATATAGACTAAACTGCTATTATGTTGGGTTTCCACATACAAAACTGGCATAGCTGAGGTGGTAACGCGGGAAAGTGTGAAGTACTGTTGACGCGCATGGGACATGGATGCAGCGTCAGAAATTCGGCGCGGAAAATCAAAGATAAGGACATGAACCTGGAAATGGGGGGGGGGGGGGGAACTCACAATTGAGTGCGACCTCTAATCGGGGAAATACGGCACATGTACATGTAGTACTCATGTAGTGAATAGTGACGCTATGAAAACAATTGACTGTGCTGGCATGTCAACACACACGCACACACACACACACGCACACACACACACACACACACACACATACACACACACACACACACACACACACACATACACACACACACACACACACACACACACACACACACATACACACACACAAAGCAACGTAGGTAGTTATGAAGTCTATTGGTGCACTTTTTAAGTAGAGCACACGTCGTCAATAATCAGGTACTGAGCTTACCTGCATTACATTAGCCCAGTAGGCAGAGCCAAACAGACCAAATTGAGAAACCGGGGAAACCTGATCAGTACTCGACAGGGAAAGATGTGATGATCCTAGCGGTGATGCTGGCACTGGCGGTGTCTGAAAGTCCCCATACTGGCCGTTGCAGGATTGAAGAGGCGCTGAACTGCCTGTTGACTGTTTAGGGATGTTCATGTTCGCGTCCAATTCTGTAGGCCTTGAAATTGGGTTCTCACAATTTGTTAATAGGGGTGACCAGCCGGCGTCGTTGTTAGTGTTTACCAGTGCACTCCTGTCCAAAGACGCTGACCCGGGTGCGATGTTTCGCAGTGCACTCGGATCCAAAGACATGTTGGGCACTGTGCTGTTTCCCACTGCCCTCCTGTCCGCTGACCCAAGTGCGGTGTTTCCCACTGCACTAGAGTGCAGTGGGTGCAAAGACGCTGACCAGGATGCGGCGTTTCCCAGTGCCCTCCTGTCCAAAGACGTGTTGGCCACTGTGGTGTTTCCCACTGCACTCCTGTCCAAGGACGCTGATCTGGGTGCGGTGTTTACCACTGCACTAGGGTCCAAAGACGCTGACGAGGATGCGGCGTTTCCCAGTGCCCTCCTGTCCAAAGACGTGTTGGCCACTGTGGTGTTTCCCATCGCACTCATATCCCAAGCCGCTGTCTCGGAGCGAAGACGGGCGCTCAGTTGTGCGAATGAAGGTCTTGGGCCCTCCGCATGCTGTCGCTGTGGAGTGGCACTGCGAGGTACAGTCAAGGGTGGCAGGTATTCATGAACCTGAGCCGCCTGAGGAGGAGTAAATCAACAGAACGAGTAGAAATCGTTGGAATAACGTTCAAAGCTTTGGAACAATTTCCTGCGCCATCTCTCACTTCTATGACCTGTCTCGCTGAATTCAAATATTCCCTGTACCAGCAATTTTGTCAATACACTCTGATGGCATACCAAACGCATTACTTTTGCAATTGCGGTGCTTGCTTCTATTCTTTGTTTTCTAGTGCTCCCCAGAATTAAAACGTGAAATTTCTTTTCCCTACGTGGGGAGAAAAATTTGATTTAAGCTACATGTATATGCATAATTATAGGTTAGTGCGGGGCACGGAGGGCCATATGGCTTGTTCGTATCCTACAGGTTCGCCCATTTGTCCACGGCTGGCGGAACCTTATAAAAACCCAAGATCGAACTCATTATAGGTATCGAAATGTACAATGTGTAGCATCCCTGACTGCCAGTAATCACACAGCCAAATCAGACTACAAGTAGATACATTGTAGTTCACAGGTACATTCTATCTAAGTGCTTCTCCCGTGCAACCACGATCAGACAGCCCTGAGTGCATGCCCAGCACAGCATGACAATAGCACCCATTCATGCTGTAGTAATACATGTACATTACATTGATTCCTGTATAGTCCGTTCCCCATCACTGACCCTCTTGATCCCTTGCAAGATTCCTTCCTGTTTCTAGGCATCCAACTAGGGTCCGGCGGATTCTGCCGGCAGAAAAATTGGCAGAATTCGGTACTTTTTCTGGTAAGTTTCATGCATGTTTGGTATGTGGATAAAAAAATTGAGCAGATTTCGAGGAATTGCCCGCCATAAGGTTTGTATAGTTCTGCCAATTTCACGGCTTTTCGAGCAGAATCTGCCACCTTTTCGAGCAGAATCCGCCGGTCTCTACATCCAACAGCTTTCATCCCCGAATCCATGTTATTGTTCAGCCCTAGCTCACACACATTCAAATGGCCTTTCCTTAGATCTTCCAACAGTTGTCTTCCTAGTAATCTTGTGCACTCACTCCCAGCTGCTCTCTCCCCCTGGCCTATAAAAACCCATCATTCTTTCTCATTTCTGTGTGGAATTATGAAGTGAAGAGTTTGAAGCCCAAGAGCTTGTTTTCCTCTGGCTAGTGCTGTTAGCCTATATCACTTTCTGGTGTACGTCCAAAGTGCCTGAGACACGAGCAGGCTGGCAGACACTATAGCTTGTGGAGCTGTTTAGGGGCTTCGACTCGGCCTCCCGTAGCTACATTTATAGTATAAATGTAGCTACGGAAGGCCGAGTCGAAGCCCCTAAACAGCTCCACAAGCTATCTATAACTATCAAGCTCACAATAATAGTCAAGCATTTCATTTGCTTTGATTCTCCTTTTAGTAGTGCTCACTACTCAGTGCTATTAAGTTACAAGAAGAAAATGTGCTATACTACCATATCAAATTCTCTCTTCGCCTAAACCACAAAGTATCCCAAGGGTACACAAGTATACTGCGCCCTAGGCCTTACATTGAAACTCAACAGTCATTTGCCAAAGGAGACATACAATGTAGCTTGAACTTTGACTGGATCTACACTGTACTTGGTTAGCTTCTATGCATGGGGGATAGTAACCTCTTTCTTAAAACAGGTAGTGCATGGCCGGTCGGGCCTAATGTGTGGTATCCATGCTATTGACACGTTGCCTTTTAGGCCTCTACGTGACAAGTCTGCCTTATTTAGATGTCTAATTATTTATCTATCTCCCGTAAACGGGTTCATAATCGTCTTTATTTTATTATCTTCACACAAGGCCTGGGGCCTTCCTTATTTGGTATGCCTTGTTATTTCCTAAGCTGGCTGACTCCCGCTCTTTGTGATACAGTTTATACACATTATTGCTAAGGTTTGGTACACTGCGGTATGCGGGTGTACCATGGTTCATTATTTGTGGGGGGATCAGCCTCCTGCCCGTAGTTAGATATTATGGCAATCGCCTTTCCAGCTCTCTCTCTCTCTCTCTCTCTCTCTCTCTTGCCTTCCGCCTTTAGGCGGAAGCTTCGGCTTCCGTCTCTCTTGCCTTGTGCTCTCAATATCGTCTCTTGAACCAAGTATTAGTTAGCTCCTTTGAAGATGTGAGTTGTTGTTGTTGTTGTTTCTTTATTTTACTTCACCATATGAACAGGCAAGACTGCCTTCTCACCGGGGCTGTTGGCCCACGGCTCTCACAATATGATGAGTCAACCTGAACGCTGGTGTGAGTGCACGTGTCTGTATGCCTGAGTGTGTGTGAGAGAGTATGTCTAGGTATATGTGCGTGCGTGCGTAAGAGTAATAGACCAATCCCGAAAAGATTGTCTGGGTTCGTGAAAGGGGGCACGCGTGCAAGCCAGCACGTGTGAAGTGCATCGTTTTGTATTCAGTTTGTGTGTGTCAGCTCATGGCGGAGAGAGAGACTTTTGCTCGCCGAGCTGAAGCTAAAGGATTTGATGGAGTCCTGCCAGCAGCTAGTCAAAGGACCTTCGGTACCTTTGCCTAGGCAGACCCTGACGGAGTTTGGAGGCCAGATAGCTCTCGGTGAGGAGAGAAACATTCGCGTGGCGATCGACTCTCCGTAAAAAATGCAAGCTACATAGCGCCGACATACTGCAACAGCCACGATTTCAGCTAACTTCTCGATCTGCTGCTTCACAATGTTCAACTATTTACAAGTCCTGACTGTTGTAGTCTGAAGCTGGAGTCTCATCGCCCACCTACAGGTAGCTTTTGGAGCTGATGGATTTCCCGACTTGGACTCCTTCCGCAAACTCTCGCAACATTACTACAGTGTATGCTGTGTTTCCGCACGCTCGTGTCGACATGTCACCTATACTGTACATGTACCGGGTCGCGGATCGCGGAGGAGCTTGACGACCTCCGCTGACTCCAGGTTTCCGAAATACTGCCGTCGTCTTCGTTGATGTCGCTGGTGACATTCTCCCCTTGCAGTACGTGCACATAGTTGTCGTCCCGGGGGTAAAGACGATGTTGTCTTTCGAAATAGTTCTTCATCACGCTCGCGCGAATGATGTTTCTCATCATGAACTCGTTCCGACGGTGTCACGCGGCGATGGTCTTTGGCGGGGCACTGGCTTGGCGAAAACGATATCTTCTTGTGCAATATAACATTGATCGGCTGCAGATGAGTACAGTCACTTCGTGGTTGATCCTATAGGAGGGCAGCTGCCAGGAAAGAGGCAGGACTCATCGAAGACAAAGCGCTCGCAACAAACAATACGGAGGATTAGCAAGACGAAATTCGCGTTCGCGTTCGCAAACATTTTTCAGCGAACGCTCGCATTTTTCTTTCGGAAAAGTAGTCGGAACACGAATTCGCGGATTCGTGTCAGGACAGTCATAAATTTACTACGCTAAAATGTCTGCACACAACGTCATGCATGTGCGAAGTCTGTTTGCTAATCCTTCTCATAACGCGA